CCCCCCCCCCCCCAACCACCGCCCTGGCTGCCTGTACCTTTTTCTTCTTCTCCTCCAGCTCCCTCTGCAGCCGCAGGGCCTTCTCCCTCTCCTGCTGCTCCCTGAGGACAAGCACGGGCTGTCAGGGCAGAAGCTGAGCCCTGGCTCGGTGCCCATCCCTGCCAGGGAAGCCGGGCCCATGGCGCTGGCGTAGAAGGCGGAATGGCAGAACGGGCACAGCAGCCAAGGGCCCACCGCCGTGCCTGTGCCCCGAGGACTGGAAAGCGCACGTCCAGGGGGCAGGGAGCACACGGCTTCGGAGTCCCCAAACCTGGCCCCGCTTCCAGCTGACTTAGGTCTGAGCTGCAGTCTTGCCTGCTGCACAGCGGGGATCCTGACACCTTCCCTCCAGTCCCGAAAATCAGGTGAGAAACCCTGAGCCACCTCGGACGGTCCCGGCCCAGGGGGCCTGGGCTCCAAGCCTGGCGGGAAGCGGGGGTGGGCCGTTACTGGGGTTTGGCGCCACCTCCACGTACAGCTGTGGCTCAGTGAGGCCTCTAACCCTCTGCGCCTGCCCCCCGCTGGGAGGGGAGCTGCTGGTTCCTATGCCACAGGGCCTTCACGCGCGGCTTCGACAAGAAACACGTGTGGAGCGCAGCACCCACCTCCGCTGCCAACCATTACGACCCTCACCCGTCACCCCCATGAGGACCCTGGCACTGGGCGGCACACATGCCATCCTAAAGCCACATCAACTGTCACCCCACCCTTTGTCCCACCCAGACCCGTCTCCGACTCTGCCACAAGGAGTGTCAATCAAGAGGCACAGGGAGCCCTGGCCGGGTCACTCAAGTGGTGAGAGCGTCTTGCCGCTGCACCAAGGTTGCGGGTTCGATCCTGGGTCAGAGCACACACAAGAATCAACCAATGGCCTAGCCGGTTTGGTGCAGTGAATAGCATTGGCCTGCAGACTGAAGGGTTCGGTCTGGTCAAGGGCACGTGCCTGGGTTGCAGGCTTGATCCCCAGTAGGGAGCATGCTGGAGGCAGCCGATCAATGATTCTCATCATGTTTCTCTCTCTCTCCCTCTCCCTTCCTCTCTGAAATCAAAAACTAAAAAAATAAAAAGAATCAGCCACTGAAGGCATAAATAAGTGGAACAAACCGTTTCTTTCCATATAAAATCAGGAACTTAGAAACATAAGCACAAGAGCCGCCCCCTGCGGCTCAGGCCCCGGCCTCCACTCCCCACTCCGCTCGCAGGACTGGCTGCGGGTCCTGCCCGCGCAGACACCTCTGCCTCTGAGAGCTCCAGACCCAGGCTCTGCTGCCATGGATACCAAGGGGGCAGTCGGAAATGAGGGGGGCGGGAGGGGGGGCTGAGTTTTCATCACCACAGAGGAGGCACGTTTAGTGGGGTCTGCAGTGCACCTCAAAGAACTCCTGCTCAAATGCGCACACACACCCCCACCCTGTCAGTTGAGGACAAAATGAACCAAGGGGGCGGCACACCGGCTGGAGGCAGGACAGGAGAGTCCCACACCTTCCCCTCCCAGGGCCATCACCACCTCTGGGTGCGGAGCCAAGGAAGCGTGACCCTCTTTTGCAAAGCCCAAGGGAAGGGGGAGCGGTGCCAGGGGCCGCTCGGTCTCTCGTACGTCCATACACACACACACACACACACACACAGACACACACAGACACACACACACACAGAGACACACACACACGCAGACACACACACACACACACACACACACACACACACACACACACACACAC